GCGTAGGAGCAGCTTCCCCGTCACTAACTCCAGGCTGATGCCGTCCCCGTGGCCTCCCTCTCTGTGGACGAGAATCCCATCACTCTGCATCATTTTAAATCTCAAAGAAATGAGAAATAACAGCCTCTTGAGGCTGTTATTTGCAATACATATCTCAGAAGCTTCGGGAAGTATTCTGCCCTTGCTTTACAATGTTCCAGCTCGTGTCCTCACGTCTGATGCAGGGAGGCTTCCCTGGCTCTGGCAGTGAGCGCGGTGCCTACGAGGAAAGACCCCACTGGCTTCCTCTCCACGTTTTCCTTGTCACGGTGGGTGTTTCTCCCTCCCATGCCGTGTCACCTCTTCTCAGTCTTTCCTGAATGGGAGCGGGACTGCAGTGGCCCAGCGCCAGGCAGCGGGAAGGCCCGTCCGTGGCTCCTGCTTGCGGCGTTTCTCCTCATTACAGAACATACACCCTTGTTTTTAAGTAATTCCACAGCAGTGTGAAGTCGTCACTCATGATCACAGCGTTATATAACCCACTCATCCCCTGAAGGCCATTGACACTTAGCCAGATTATCCCAGCACTTCAAAGCCACCACCATTCCATCCGCGTGTCCCCTGTCACCCTCCCTCTTGTCTGTGCCCCATCGGAGCAGGTCTGGATGCCGTGTCCAGGAGGGCAGACCCCTCCCTGAGCTGCTCTCTGCCCCGCTCACTGCTCACTCCTGACGATGTGTTCATTCGTCCATCCATTTACCCACCAGCAGATTCACGGACGGCCGCAGCACTGCACCCACCAGGATGGTTCCAGGTGCCACAGGGACAGAGCTGGTTGCCATGGGAGCACATGGGGATGACACCTGGCCTGGCCAGGGCTTGCTGGGAAGTTATCAGAAAAGGAGACCCGAGGGCTGATCATGGAGTCCGTGGGTGTCACAGCAGCAGGAGGAAGGACAGAGGCCAGACACAGAAGGGCACGTGTCAGGGCGTCCTTGTATATAAAGTTCAGGAACAGTGAAAGCGACGCACAGTGTGGCTGTGACTGCTGGTGAGGGATCATGCCAGGCGGGGCACAGGAGCCTCGGGGAGCCTCTGCCTTGTGGCCCCGGCTGGTTGCACTGTTGAGAAAACCCTCACCACCAGGCACCTGTGATGTGGGCATCTTTCTGTACATGGGTCGCACCTCACAAAACAAATTTTCAAAAAATAATGGGTGAGTGTCCGGCATCAGAGGCTTCTGTGCAAAGGCCCTGTGGCTAAAGCAGATGTCTCCACACATTCAAAGGGCTGAAGTCGGGCTGTCGGGGCTGCCGGGGGGAGCACTCACTTCTGCAGCTGCTGCCTGGGGTGGGGAGATTGGGCTGAGAGGTGAGGATGGAGGGAGACGGCCATGGAATTGGGACCGAGTCCCCATGTGGTGAGGAGCATCTGCGTGTCCCCCGTGCACCTCGGGCCTGGGAAGATGAGGCTTTTGCATTCACCGTTTGCACGTGGGAGGGCTCCTCTCCCTACAGGAGGGCAAGAGGCCCCTCAGTGGCTGCTGTGGTCCTTCAGGCACAGTGTGGCGACCAGACCCAAAGGACGGTGAGAGCAACGGATGAGGAGGGGTGATCAGTGCATCCCACACAGACTTAGCAGGTGGAACCACAGGCTGGGGACTGGCCAGGTATGGGTGACTGTGACTTAACTGATCGGAGTCACTGCGGAAGAGCAGATCTGCTGCTGAGATGAGAACACAGATAATCAACAGTTCTTGGAGGGGATTAGAATAAATGATCCAGTTATGGTCAAATGAGGTATCTCAGAGCTGCTGGATGTGGAAATGGAGTGTCCAGAGGAGCCTGTGCTGAGGACAGAGATGGGTGTTCACATGCACAGTGGCCGCTGGCCCAGAAGGACCTGCCTTTACCTGATGCTGATGCAGAGGAGCTCAGGGAGGCAAAGCTATCCGCTCCCAGCTGGTGACAAAAGTCCCTCCTGGACCAGACCCTGTGGGGCTGGCTTGGGGAGAACCTCCCCTTGAGGCCTCCTCCAGGTCACCTCCCATCTGCTGACCCCGCTCTGCTCCTTGGCTGTGTGTGCCCCAGTCTCTGAGCCAGTCAGAGTGGAGCCCGGGCTCTCCCTGTCACTCTAGTCCTGAGTGAGGTCTTCCTCACTGTCTCAGCATGTGTCAGGATAAACATTAACATCAGCAACCCACAAAACGTACAGGAAAGCGTGGTGCCCAGGGCTTGGTGAAAACATGGTATGGGGGACAAGATCAAGGCAAGGACAGAGGTGGGACCTCCCACCCAAAAACAGAGCGAGGCCCAGGCAGGAGCACCGCACAGAGGCCCAGGCTGCAGACGCCGGTCTGTGCCGCCTCTGAAGACCAGGACCTGGGGCACTCATTGGGCGGGGAGTGCGCAGGGAAGCCGGCTGCAGGACGTGACAGGGGTGCCGAGAGCCGCGGGTCCTGGTCGCTGCGGGCAGTGCATGGTGCAGCCACTGGCCAGGCGTGGGGCTGTTTTGACATTTGTGGTGATGAACTACCTTCTGAACTCGTAAGCAGACCCTCGTGTTCCCAGCGGCTCGGTGTTGCTAGATGCAGGGGTGCTGCATGACGCCTTCTCTAGGGGTGGGAGTGGAGGGCACTGTCTGCTGTGTAGCCGCTGGAGGAAGGCACGAGCAGGGACAGGGCTGCGGGCACACCACGTCTGGAGCCGCTCTACCCCCAGGACCATGAGCATTGCCAGACCCAGGAGAGCATTTTGGGTCCTGTGAAAGGCACAGCTTGTAGGGTGTCCAGGGGTGTGTGGAGACACGTGGGAAGGAGAAAGTGCTGAGCATCCCTAATGGCCACAGGGCAGAGGCCCTCAGGGGGATAGCTGAGTCCCCACATGGAACCCCAGACCCTTGTCGGGGTGTCCCTCCTATGTGGACCCCCATGTCCGACAGCCCTCAGGCCACTTTCCATGGCTGCAGATGCTCCTGAACACCAGCCGCCCTCCCTACCCAGGCTCAGGCTGCCGTGTGCAGCTCTCAGGGCCTTTGGCACAATCCCTGGTCCAGCTCCTCCTTATGAGGAAAGGAGACGCGCTTCTGTAGGGCATCTTCCACCTCCACGCCCTGCTGCGTCCTCCTCAAATAAGCAGCCCCTGACGAATGTGCGCACGGGGAGGAGGGACCCACACAGCTGCCAGCCTGAGCCCTGCAGGACCACCCCAGTTACCTCAGGACCCCAGCCTAGCAGGTAGAGGGGTTTGTGAAATGACTGCCTACACAGAGACAGGGAGACAGAGATGGAGACAGAGAGACAGAGAAGGAGAAGCCATCAAGAGAGACAGAGACAGAGAGACAGAGATGGAGACAGAGAGACAGGGATGGAGAAGAGGCAGAGAGACAGAGAGACAGAGAGACAGAGAGACAAAGAGACAGAGAGAGCAAAGACAGAGGGAGACAGACAGAGAGACAGGCAAAGAGAGAAAAAGAGGCAGAGAGACAGAGAGACACAGCAGAAAGAGATAGAGGAAGAGACAGAGACAGGCAGAGACAGTGAAACAGATAGACAGAGGCAGAAAGACAGAGAGACAGCAGAGACAGAGAGACAGAGCAGAGATAGAGAGATAGAGGCAGAGGCAGAGACAGAAAGACACAAACAGAGAGAGACAGGGAGAGAGAGACACAGAGAGAGAGAGACTGAGCAGATAGACAGAGAGAGAGACAGAAATGGAGGCCTGGACCCCTGGCTCTGGCAGGACCTGCAGCAGCCCCGTCCCTGTCTTGGGCCTTCCACGCATGGAGAGGTCACACAGCTCAGTGTGAGGATCCTAGGACAGTCTGATATTTTTATTTCAGGTTTATACAAGAACACGGAAGAAGAGTCACTTGTGCTTGTCGGGTGAGGTAAGGATGAGCTCCTCTCCGGCCGGGAGCGCTGCCCCTCTGCAGGCGGCCCCTCACTACTCACTGCGGGTGCATCCATAGACCTCCACGCGCATCCCGATGCTCTGGCAGGGTTACAGGCCACGGGCAGGAAGTGCAGGTGCCGCGTCTCCACGGACAGCCGCAGCCCATGCTGCACCACGCTGTCAGCATTGGTGTTCCCGGGGAAGCCCTGCAGGAGAAGAGGCCTCAGCGTCCACCCAGCAGGCAGGTGTGCCTGATGTCCCACCCCGGAGGGGCCTGATGGCCCAGACTCAGGTGGGCCCCAGGACAGGCCTCCCTGCTGGAGGACTTGGAGCAGACAGCTCGGCTGCTCCCCCAGCCTCTGCCCTCCCCCCTGCTCCCACCCCCTCCCCAGATCCCTGTGTTGAAACCCTAACCCTGGGTTTAGGAGACACAGCCTCTGGGAGGTGTCAGGCCTGGGGATGGAGCCCTGGATATAGGATCAGGGCCATCATGAAAGAGGCTTGAGAGACCCCTCCCCAGCTCCACCACAGCGGGATGTGTGGAAGGCGCCTTCCATGAGCCAGAGAGTGGCCCCACCACACCCCCAGTCTGTGGCACCTGATGTTGGGCTTCAGCTTCCAGACCGTGAGGAGGGAATGTCTGTTCTTCATAAGTCGTCCAGTCTGCCGTGTTCTGCTAGAGCAGCCTGAGCAGACTGAGACTTCCTAAAAGGAGAATCTGTGCATGTCTCCCTAAGACTCTCCTGATCACAAGGTTGTGTGGGTTTTATTAGCACCATTAAAGCCACATGTGAGGAGTTTCAATAAAATTGTTTTGTGAAAAAAAAGCGAGGTAGATTCTCCACCTGCCTCCATAAAGCTTGTTTTGGGGACACGTTCACCACATGAACTTCAAGCCTAATCTCCGGGAAGTAAAGACTCGCCTGAGAACAAACACACCGAAGTGTTAAGTGCAAAGGATCCCTAATGAGAACCACAGCTCCTTGCACAGGAGAGTGACAGAGTTCTTGGAGATTTTTTTTTTTCCTTTTTGTCTTTTTTCGTGTCTGGCAACGGACCGCAACCCTCAGTGTCGAGCCCGTACCGGACCGGGACTGGCAACGGGATCGCAACCCTCGGTGCTGTGCCCGCCCCTCGCTCAGCCAGTGAGCGGGAACCGGTCTGTATGTGGGATCTGAACCCTCAGCGGGAGTGCTGCTGCGCTCCCAAGTGGCGCACTGTAGCAGTGCGCCAAAGGATCCCTAATGAGAACCACAGCTCCTTGCACAGGAGAGTGACAGAGTTCTTGGAGATTTTTTTTTTTCCTTTTTGTCTTTTTTCGTGTCTGGCAACGGACCGCAACCCTCAGTGTCGAGCCCGTACCGGACCGGGACTGGCAACGGGATCGCAACCCTCGGTGCTGTGCCCGCCCCTCGCTCAGCCAGTGAGCGGGAACCGGTCTGTATGTGGGATCTGAACCCTCAGCGGGAGTGCTGCTGCGCTCCCAAGTGGCACACTGTAGCAGTGCGCCACCGGGCCGGCCCCATCTTGGAGATTTTTAATTGAACCCACTGATTTGCAGATGAGGGAGCTCAGCCCAGAGACGGCGAGGCTAGCTGGGCCCACGGGGCTCCATCAGCCTTTCCCTCCCCTTCCTGATGCCTGGGCTTGTGCGGGCTTGGGCAGGCCAGGAAGGAAGGGACCACAGTGTATTTGGTGGGGACGGGCTGGTGGGAACTGCCCAGCCCGACATCCAGATGCAGTGCAGGTGTCTGCTTCCCCTCGACAAGCTGAGGCATGCTCGGGATCTGTGCCCCAGCTTCAATCTATGAACATGTTCCTGGATGAAAGTGAGTGTGTATAGGAACGAAAAGACATAGCACCCCTTTCCCCACAGTTCCGCCAGGGGTGCGTGAACGTAGACATGGTGAACAGAGCACACCTCCAGGAGGGATGCTCAGAGCTGGCTCAGCACTCCGCAAAGGACTCTCCATCCAGGGAGGAAGCAGTAGGGAAAGTATGTGTGAGTGTGCACATATGTATATACGTGCTTGAGTGTGTGTGTGTACGGGCATGTGCACACACTGTGTGAATCTGTGTGCATGCACATGTGAATGTGTGCATGTGTATGTGAGCATGTAGATATGTGTGTGCATACATGTGTATATGATTATTGCATGAGAATGTATGAATCTCTGTGTGTGTGCACGTGTGAATGCATGCGTGTTTGTAAATGTTTGTGGTCATGTGTGTACACGTGTGTGTGCATGAGCGTGTGAATGCATGTGTGTTTGTAAATGTTTGTGGTCATGTGTGTACACGTGTGTGTGCATGAGCGTGTGCATGCATGTGTGTGTGACAGGGGTGGTGTTCACCCAGCCTCTGGTGTAAAGGGGTCTGCCCACCCAGCAGGCAGGTTTGCCTCAATGCCCCCACCCCAGGAGGGACCTGATGGCCCAGTCTCCAGATGGGCCCTAAGACGGGCTCTCACTGTCCCCAGCCTCCTGAACCTGCAGTGGCTTCTGCTCCTTCCTCCACTAGGTGAAGGCCACCCCGACCCCAGATCGCCATTGCCCTCTGCATGACCAGGTTTCCCAGGTGTGGAAGGAAGAGCCACAGCCTCGGCCTCTGCCAGGCTCTTCCTCAGGCCAGCCTGGACCCCACTCTGCTCACTGTCTCTTTCAAAATGGAGTCTCTCCTGAGCCCCAGGTGTCAGCATTCTCTGGGTCCACCCTGCCTAGGGCCTGCTTGCTCATGCCCAGATCTGCCCCCTGCATCTGGCCCCCAACTGTGCCCAGGGACGGCTGATGAAGTGCTCAGGTAAACACCGTCAAGCAAGGCCTGTCCTCAAGGTCCTTGGGACACCGTCTAGTGCCAGGGATGTCTCCAAAGAGGCAGAGTTGGCCACACATCTGACCATGGCCTCAGGGCTGATGTCCCCCTCAGTAAACATGTCTAGGGCCCCAGGCCCGTCCAAGTGCCTCACCCTGAAATGGGTTTGATGAGGACACACAGGACTGGAGCTCCCCCACGTCCAGGCCATCTTCTCATCATCTGCCTCATGAATCCACCCGAAGGCTGTGAGTCCATCCAGTCCTTTCTTCACCACATGCATGGAATGTAGCCTGCACACATGCCGGCAAACACAGCTCCATGGCTTTGTCAACACGAAGCCACCCGCACAGCACTGCTCAGGCCAAAGAGCAGCCTCCACCCCATAGGCTGCACCCTTCGTTTCTGTACACATCCCCATGGGGGCCACGCCCCTTTGTCCTGTCCTAATAACACCATGATGAGATCCACGCATGTTGGGGCGTGGAATGCTGTGGATCCTGCATGTGTTCTGGTGTGGGGCTCTCAGAAGGCCATGGCAGCAACGCATCGTCCCTCCACCTTGGCCTGCGGTGGCCTCTGGTTTGCAAGTCCCTGAAGGTGGGGTTGTGGGTCCTTGGCGTGTGTGGGGGAAGCCAACAGTCCCCTCTAGGGCATTTCCATGCAGCTGGAGGTGGGAGTGAAGAAGCCAGCAAACTGGTGGGGCAAGAGTCACAGATCCATGCCAGCCTCAGCCCAGGCTTCAGAGTGGCCAGGAGCATCCCCGCAGTGACCCTGCACAGCTGTGCTTCTGACTATTCTTCTCGTTCCTTCTTCCTGAAGTCCCCTCCCTGGTAAAACATTGATCCAAGTCCTCGCCTGGCTGTAGGCCTCACTGTACTGACCCAGAGCATGTTATGAGGCCAGGAGGCCGTGGACACCCTCTGCTTCCTCCACGGCCAGGGGCCTCCTCAGCGTGGGCCAGGCCAAAATCCAGCACCGATGACCCCCACCTCCCCTCCCTAAAGACACTCAGCAGGGCCTGTCCCACCCCCACCAGCGCTGACTGCACGGCTCTCACGCCCGGCCAGCATGTCCAAGGAGACACGGTCTGTCACTGCTACGAGGCTGAGCACTACTCATCTCTCGCACTTTTTCTTACAGATCGCTGGTTCCCGTCTTCCAAGATCTTTCAGTGGCTGTTTACGTTTCCCTTCGACTTACGGTGCTTCCTCTTGAGTTATAAATGTCAATCTGAATTTTCTGATGTTGCAAATAATTTCTCCCAGGGTATGATTTGGCTTTGACTTTATGAATGGTGATCAACAAGCATGTTTGTTTCTGACGTTGGTGTTTGGGAATGATTGTCTTCTCTCTAAGTGATAACCTTCTATTCTACATAGTTTTAGTGTTGATATGGATTCTTACAAGACTGGATCTTTACACGTCTGGAAAACAATATTTAACATACGGCATTACAGCTAACACCGATATAATTCACTTCATTGTTTTCAAGCAGAAACCTAATAATTCCAACACAAATGCTGAATACATTGATTTGAAGATAGACAACCAGATAGGAAAATGGGCAACAGACTTAACCAGGAAAATCAAGACTGAGGAGACCACACAGGCCACCAAACATCTGAAAGGTGCTCAACCTCGTTAGCAAAATGAGTCCAAGTCACAATGATCCACTGATGCACCAGGGCCACCTGCTGTTTCACTGACAGCACCAGGTGTTGGGCCCCCGGGCTCAGGGCAGGTCAGGTGAGCAGGGGCGGCAGCTGTGGAGAACACGGAGCTGTTTGTTTCTGCCGTGAATGGAGGGTCCCAGCCTGGAAGCAAAGCCCAGGTTCTGTCACAAAAGGAAACGTCAGATGACTATGCCCAGGTCAGCACTTGCAGGGCTGTCCTGCTCCTGTCCTAGCTAAGGTGTGGCCTGTGGTGAGCTGACCCAGGAAGGGGTGCCTGCGTGGATGCTGGTTTTGTGTGTGTGCACGTGTGCACAGGTGCGTGGTTGCATGGGTGTCCCTTCCACTGTAGGAGCATTTATGTCCTCCTCGACCCACGGTTCTCAACTTTAACATGCATCAAATTCAGTTGAGGGACTTTTAAAGTGGGGATTCCTGGACGGGGCCTGCTTGTTACAGGGAGGCTGAGGGGGCTGTGGTTTGGGAAGGGCCACTGAGGTACGTGTGGCCACGTGGGGACCCCTCAATCTGGCCAGAGCATCGACAAACAGCATGTGGCCGAGACCCCCAGTCTGCTGCAAAGACTAAAGTCGACCCACGTAGTGGTGCAAGCTGACCGCTAACTTTCAGATTTAAGAATAACTGTATCCATTGCCCTTTAAGCAAACTTAAAAAATAATTTAGTAAAGAAAATATAGATTTAAACTTTGCTCGTGTCCATC